GGGGGTGTGGATAGTGACCTGTGCTTGCACACAGGCTTCTTGGTGGCGGCAGCAGCAGCCTTAGCGTCTCATGCCCGTCTCTGGGGTCTGTGCTGATCGCCGCGGGTCACGCCCGTCTGTGGAGCTCCTTTAAGCGGCGCTCTTAATCCTCTCTCCTCGCGCAACAAGAAACAAAGAGGGAAGAAAAAGTCTCTTGCCTCTTCGGCAGCTCCAGATTTTTTCCCGGACTCTCTCCCGGCTAGCCGTGGTGCACTAACCCCTGCAAGCTGTGCTCACACCGCCAACCCCAGTCCTCTCCCTGCGCTCTGACCGAAGCCTGAGCCTCAGCTCCCAGCCCCGCCCACCCCGGCGGGTGAGCAGAGGAGCCTCTCGGGCTGGTGAGTGCCGGTCGGCACCGATCCTCTGTGCGGGAATCTCTCCGCTCTGCCCCCCGCACCCCTGTTGCTGCGCTCTCCCCCGCGGCTCCAAAGCTTCCCCCCTCCGCCACCCACAGTCTCCGCTCGCGAAGGGGCTTCCTAGTGCCTGAAAACCTTTCCTCCTTCACAGCTCCCTCCCACTGGTGCAGGTCCCGTCCCTATTCTTTTGTCTCTGTTTTTTCTTTCTTCTTTTGCCCTTCCCAGGTACGTCGGAGTTTCTTGCCTTTTGGGAGGTCTGAGGTCTTCTGCCAGCGTTCAGTAGGTGTTCTGTAGGAGTTGTTCCACATGTAGATGTATTTCTGATGTGTTTGTGGGGAGGAAGGTGATCTCCGCATTTTACTCTTCCGCCATCGTAAAGCTCCGCCTTATAAGCTTTTTTCAGAGAGTGAAAAGAGTGAAGGAAACTTCGAATTTTGTAGGACTTTGGAAATGGTCCTTATTCAATTTGTCATGTTTGTCCCAGCAGAAAAAGCAGTTTTTCATTTTAAGCTCGGTTGAAGGCAGGGATTATTCTTTTTCTTTCTGTTGCTTACCACAGTGTCAGGATACTGCTTTGCAACACACTTAACAACCAGCAATGTGATTTTTAGAATACATGGACCTTGGACTAGTAGGATTTCTTCAGGTGGAAGTGGTAGGGACTGGCTCCAGAGTATTTCAGGCAGGAAAAAGGAGGGCTGAATATATGGTGACAGTAAAGTAAGGTATGAAAACTTGAATGTTATCTTCTATTTTATGTGATATAAAAAAAAACCCCTACTTATTATTCATATATTCTTTGCAGTGTTATTACATAATTAACGAATTTTTAATATTTACCTAAATTAAAACTAAGTTTTTAGAATCTTTGCTACACTGTTGGAGAATGCTTTGTTCAAAAAAATAAAATGATTCTTATACTGATACAAAATGAACATGTTAAGATTTTATTTAGTTCATTAATTGAGCAAACCTGTAAGATGCCACAACTGTTTCAAAGAAGTCAAAGAAGCTCAAATTTATACGAAGTATAGGAATGTTGAAACGAATTCACAAAAGATGGAAACTTTTTTATTCCCCTATGGGAAGGGAAGTAAATTGAACCTCTACCAGACAGTGAAAGGTTGCAATCATGTAACTTGGGAGAGCATACTTTAGACAATGCATAGTTTTCCATTGAAGCACAGACAGTCCCTACAGTCTATTTGCTTTTGGTCAAAAATAATGTTAAAAAAAGATTGTTCTTAATCACACAATAAAGCTGGTCTCATTAGGCATAGCCTTATTATTTACATAGGTGTAGTAGCAAGAGTGTTAATTTATCACGTGGACCTTCTAAGTTTGCTTTCCTTTTTTTTTTTTTTTAAGATTTAATTTTATTTATTTTTGGCTGTGTTGGGTCTTCGTTTGCTGCGAGTGGGCTTTCTCTAGTTGTGGTGAATGGGGGCTACTCTTTGTTGCAGTGCGCCGGCTTCTCATTGCAGTGGTTTCTCTTGTTGCAGAGCACAGGCTCTAGGCACGCAGGCTTCAGTAGTTGTGGCGCACGGGCTTAGTTGCTCTGCGGTATGCAGGATCTTCCCGGACCAGGGTTCCAGGTGTCCCTTGCATTGGCAGATGGATTCTTATCCACTGCGCCACCAGAGAAGTCCCTCTAAGTTTGCTTTCATAAGTTAAGTTTTCATAAATTATCTCAGATTAGACTTTTAAAACCCTCTGTTATTTGCTAAGCCAAGAGTAGGAGGCAACACCCAGGGAACTCTCTCCACATGTTTTATTGTAATTAGTCTTTATTCTCAAAGGCAATGGAAGTCTCATTATTTCTCATATTTTTTTTTATGGGAATGGAGGATTTTCTTCCATTACTATTTTGAGTTGGAGGCAAAAATTAAAATATCAGAAACTTAGTGAAAATACAAAGTTAGTGTGGTTTGATATATGTTTTATTTTCAGATTGAAAATATCAGAAGGAAGCATAATTATCTGCCGTTCATTATGGAATTGTTAAAGACTTTAGCAGAACACCAGCAGTTAATACCACTAGTAGAAAAGGTAAGTATTTTACTGGTGAATACTTAAATTAGATTTAGATTCTCCAAAAAATGTTATTTGGCTTGAGAAGAGATAAAATTTGTTGAAGCTTTTTATTTTCATTTTTTTGCTCTTACTTACTGTTTTTCATCTAGAGGAACATTAATTCAATCTAATATTGCAAAATAAAAATAAGGAATTGCATTACTGCTTTAGCTTTCCAGAATCCTTAGTGTCAGGAATTCAGGTTGTGCTATATTAGAATGAAATTTTAAACACTTTTCTTTCTTTAGCTGAAAACAAATTATTAATTTTAGTTACTGAAATAATAGATATTTCTTATTTAACTTAGCAAAAATTTGAATTATCATCGAATTTACTACTGGAATGAAGGGGGGAAAACATAACCTAGCCTAAGAAATAGGTTTTCTTATTCCTAAGTTATTACTCTTTCCACTGAGGGAAAACTAGCATAGGTTAGTGAAAAATTTGGACCATTAACTTAAAGACCAGAATACATGGTAGGGTTTTTTTTACTTATTAATTTTTAAGTTCATGAAGCAAAGATACATTTCAACCCAGCTGTTTGATATCATCATAAATTCTAAATAATATAAGATGTGAGTTAAGGTTTTTATATATACCTTATTATCTAGATCCTGAACATGTGCTTCAACTTTTAGCATTAAATGTAAAAATTTACATTTAAGAAAATTTAGAAGAGGACTGCTAAGTCTTCTCTTTTCCATATAGGTTTTTCTATTCATGTATCTCAGGGTGTTAAATCATAAAAGTCCAAGATGGGAAACTGATTTTTAAAGTTTTAGATCAACAGTTAGGGTCCTGTGATCCTCAGAATTGCCTGGTTAACAGAGTACCTCTATATTATATTCTTTGTATGAAACACTATGAAATATTTCTCTGTTGAAAATATTAAACAAAATGAAATATAGACTGTTATGCTCAATTGTATGATGTGTCTGGTATTAAGTACAGATAAATATTATTAGGGACCAGACAAATGTTATTAGAGAAATTTTAAATATATATGTTGTGCTTTAAAATTGGCCTGTGAGTAAACTTTTTTGGGCAAATTAAGAAAAGGACTATTCTTATTTGATTTTATTGACATTATATTTCCATAATTTTTTTAAAAGCATAGATAGAGTACAATAGCTTTTCAGCTTTTACATTAGAACCATAATTCCTTAGTTCACATTATTTTGGACACAGGGTGGCAGTATATGAATGCCTCGTGTTAGTGGAATACCAACTCAGTCTCTTCTTATGTTTGCATTTGTTTTATTGAATATAATACAAAGACATTATCTGTCTGTTTTATTGAAAGGGTAGTTACTGACTTGCTTGTTCTTTGACTAATAATATTGTACAAGCAATATTGAGATACATTTCTTTCTGTATAGATACTATACAGAAAGATACTGTATATGCAGTATCTTTTATGTGCCTAGATTCTGAAGGGAATTCAGATTCATTATTTGATTAAAATTTTTGAAATGTTTTGATTATTTATCCAACATTTATCTAGCTGAAACTATATTTGAGGCAGTCTCTTAAAGTCAGTGGATATACACATAATTAAGACACATTTTTCTGTCTTAAGCAACTTAGTTGGGGAAAGGAATACATGATTATAGTACTGTGCTGGATAGTATTATTCTGATAAGTGCTAGAATAAAGTCATGCTAAAGATTCTGGGGGATCACAGGGTAGCTCCTAAATAGCTTTATGCCACTTAAAATTTCACGTCCACAAATTTTGAATCTGTGGTTAGAATTAAATGCTTAGTTTCTGCCAATAATCAGCTTCCTTAGCACAAATATATTTTTGTTCGTCTTATTTTGAAAAAAGAAATCATATATCATATTGAAATATCACTTTCTGCTGGTAAATGCAAATGTTAAAAATTAAAAAAACAATAGATTAAGATTAGATTTTATAATTATATCCAATATAAAGACTTTAGTAGTGAACATTACTTAATAAGTAATACTTCTAAGAAAAGAATTACATGTAGAATTCAGAAATGGATTATTATGTCAAAAATCCTCCCCTTCCCCCCAATGCCAGTTGAAAGTAGAAAAGATGTGGATAGTCTAGGCAGTGTTGCTACTTACTAAAGCCATCCAGGATCAGATTTCTGAGTAACTGGAGGCAGGTCCTGACTGCCTGTGATGGTGTGGAAGTATTTGACCTGTGGAAATCTTTTCATTTTACAAAATAACAAAGAGTGAGGACTTTGATTCTCCCAAGAGCATGTGGCTTTAATGAATTAGGTTAAGATATTGCTGTGTAAGAGTTCTTGTTCTATGAAGCTTCTGTTCTTATCTGATCAGTTCATTGAGTATACATTACATAAAGATTGCTCAGGAGGTAACCTAAAAATATAAAGTTATAAAACTTCTTGTGCCATATACCAAATCTGTTCCTTAAAATATAAAATAAAATCAGCTATATTAAGATTTCATTTGTAAAACTGTTATTCAGATATATTTACAATTCTTTTAAAATTTTATCTCAACCTTTATATGTATTTTTGAATCATTGTCTATCCCAGGTTTTTAATAACCACCAAAAACCTACCATAATTTAGAATCACAGATTTTGTTGCTATGGGGGATTCAAAGCACAGTACTGAATTTTGTACAGATTTTACCAAGACATTATAATTCAGTTGGTAATAAATAACTAATCTGCAGAACTTACTTTTTCTATCTCTACCTTAATAGAAATAAGGTAGAAGAATAAAGTTATCTGCAATAATATGTACATTAATACCTATGATTACAGAATTATCTGACTTCAGTCAGCAGTTTTTAGTATCTCACTAGCACACTAAATAAAAGGAAAGTATTTCTTAACAGTGAACATTTTTTCCATGCTATTTTGAAATACAGTATTTTTTATTTTTCAACAAAGGCAAAACAGAATACAGGCTTTCAGTTTAACTCTCAGATATGTTACTTAGCTGTTATGTTATTAGCTGTTGCTTTTAGGCAAGTTATTTGCTTTATTATAGAATCTATTTCCTCATCTATAAATTGGTAATCACACTTCACATTCTTAAGGATTAAATGAGATAATATTGGTCAAGTTCATAATATGTGCTCAGTAAATGGTGGTAATTATTTTTAACTTATTTAGCTTACCCTTAGTTTTATCTGAATTATATAGTTTAATACATGTGTGGATACTCTGCATTATATGTCTTTGCTTTATAAATTATGTTGTAAAATTTATGTCATTAACCAGTAGATTGATTCCGGTTAATCCTAGTAAACTTCCTGTATATTCAGAGATCACTAAGAAAAGAGGTACATATTTTTATTTGCAAATTACATCTAAAATTGAATAGTATTTTTATTATTTGGAAACAGAAGACTTCTTTGAGAAATTGTATATATCAAATTATGCTTGTTATTAAAAATGTTTATGCAAGCAATTTTTAAGTTTTTATATGGTACGTATAACATATTTCCTCTTAATATATTCTAAGGCATTGCACTTAATTTTATCATACGGTTGTATGATAATTCTATTATCATTATAATGCATTATAAAAAAAAAGATTATAGTTGTTCTCATTAAAGAAGTTTTTTTCTTAATTGTATAATAGCAAAAGTCTAATTTATTTGTTCCTTTCTGATTCAAGTGCCATAGTGGAAAGAACATTATATTCTAGTCTTCTAAAATCTTGCTTTTCAGAGTGTCACCTGAGGACCAGCAGAATTGGCATCACCTGAGAGTTTGCTAGAACTTTAGATCCTCAGGCATTTTACCAATTCAGCCTGCATTTTAACACAGTCCCCAGGTCATTGGTCTCTACATTAGAAGCACTGCTATAGAATATGTGTCTTTTGACCTCTATTGAGGTTTTGTTATATATTAGCTGTGTGACTTGGTCAAGTTTGATAACACCTGTAAACTCTGGCTTCCTCATCTGCTAAAAAGTGAAATAGAAGTACTGTGTTCAAGCTCTATACTTGTTATGAGGTTCAAGTGAAACAACTTGTGAAAACATTTTTTTGGTCTTACATGAGCGAAGAAAGCCTCACTTATATGTGAGGTTTATCAACACTATGGGTATATAATCCTTAGTTATGTTAAACTCATGTAAACTATTATGTTAAACTCATTTATTCAAATATGCAGAAATTAATATAGGATTTTTCATATACTCAGTTTGTATGAGAAATGGGCACACATGTAAATATATTGTTTTGAAATAGTTATGAATGAGTATGACTTTATAGGATGAGTAATTTTGTATTTTTAAATTGTTACCGTTGTAATAATACATTTCAACTTCAGGTAAGAAAGAACTGCAAACCAAATATGATCCTTTTTTATTGAGGGCAAAGCATAACTATATCATTGTCCAGTAGTAGTCTGTTGTGAGTCTTATAAAAGATAATTCTCTAGAAATCTTGCAAACAACGCATCTCAAGCTTTTTAGCTTAAGAATGCCCTCTTAGACACATTTCATTTTAATATGAACTGGAACAGGCTTTTAAGATTGTATAGTATACTGTCTTTAATTTCTAGGCAAAAGAAAAACAGAATGCAAAGAAAGCACAGGAAACCAAATGAAGAAGATGCTTTGGGATGTGTACACATTTCTGCTTCTGCACTTATTTTCAAGGAAACCATTAAGTATAAAGAACTTTGAGCAACATCCTAATCGACTCAGCACACGTTTGGCAATAGTCCCAGTCTGTCTCGTCTTCAGTGCATGGATTCATAACCTCTCCCTGCCTGCATCATGTGCATGTGGTGCATATTAAATAAAAGTGGTGTTCAGAGCGCTTGCCCAAATCCCATTATATGACATTGGATCTGAGAACTCCTGTTGGTTCTCTGGATAGATAACTACCGTAATGAACCGTAATGAACTACCGTAATGAAAATGGACAAATGATATTCTCTACCTGTAATTGTTATAATTTTCCAATCTTTCAGCTTGGTTAAATGCTTAAAATTTATAAATGTCAGATATTGATAAATGGAGTCTCTTGTTTCTTCTCATCATTAATGAAAAAATCAGTATTTCTGTCTTTGATATCTAAATATTTTGAAGATTTAAAAACTGAATTTTATCTTCTATACCAATTATTTGTAAAAGCTTGATTTTAAAGGAGATCATTTGAAAAGAACAGAAGTATAGTTTCTGGGCTTCCCTGGTGGTCCAGTGGTTAAGAATCTGCCTGCCAATTCAGGGGACATGGGTTTGAGGCCTGGTCTGGGAAGATCCCACATGCTGCGGAGCAACTAAGCCCATGTGTGCCACAACTACTGAGCCTGCACTCTACAGCCTCCGAGCCACAACTACTGAAGCCCACGCGCCTAGAGCCCGTGCTCCGCAACGAGAAGCCACCGCAATGAGAAGCCCGCACACCACAACGAAGAGTAGCCCCCACTCAACGCAAGTAGAGAATACCCACACACAGCAACAAAGACCCAAGACAGCCAAAAATAAATAAATAAATGTTTTAAAAAAAAAGCATAGTTTCTAGTGATTTTCATTGCTACCAGTAGAAAAAGTAAAAAAAATCCCAATTTTATTTTAGCAAACTTTTTTCAGTGTTTGGGATTATTTTTGTATTGTAGAATTATTTCAGGAAGGTGTATTATGCATCAAAGCAAAATTTTAGGTTAAGAACAGATTGTAAATCTTAAAGATTTTTGGTGCTACTCTAAGTTTGGCAACACTTTTTCAAGCTGTTAGCTGTATCTTTATAAAGAATTGGGGGTGTAGCAATTCAGGCTATCTGCTTTTTTTAAAAAAGGATGGTGGTGGTGGAGGATCCTTCTTTGCCAACTTGAACAAAATTAGTACAGCCCAGTAGTTTCCAAGAGCCATTTATCGTTTGCCTGCAATGGAATTGGGAGTTGCTTTGTTTTTTATTTTATAAAATAATATTGTATTCTTGCTCTTAATCTTCTTTTCCAAGTTAAACTTTAAAGGAAGTTTTATAAAACTTATGTTTGTAAAAGAAATAATCTACTTTTTTCTTTACTAGGTACCTTTCTGAAATTGATACATGACTTTAATATTTTATTATAGAAAATTTAAACATGTAGAGAGACGGTACACATCTTCTAATTTCAAACATGTGAATTTTTTTTTTTTTTCCTGTAAAAGCTTTATTATTTCCATTTGGTCCAAGGGTTGGGAGAGGGCTCCAGCGTGGTTAAAAAGGTGCCTACTGGGCTTCCCTGGTGGCGCAGTGGTTGAGAGTCCGCCTGCCGATGCAGGGGACACGGGTTCGTGCCCCGGTCCGGGAAGATCCCACATGCCGCGGAGCGGCTGGGCCCGTGAGCCATGGCCTTTGAGCCTGCGCGTCTGGAGCCTGTGCTCCGCAACGGGAGAGGCCACAGCAGTGAGAGGCCCGTGTACCGCAAAAAAAAAAAGGTGCCTACTTGCTGCCGAGAGCTGCTTCAGGCAGAAGGCCTGACACCAGAGGGGCTCCTCAAAGCCCACTGGACTTTGGAGGCTCCTCGTCGTGCTTGAGGATGAGCCTTTCGAAGAGATACTGGCCCAGCCCAGGCTGGGGACCAGCCAGCCTGCGGAGCTTAGTCAGGTGGTCGCCCATCTTCTTGATGAGTTTCACCTGCTCATCTAGGGCGTGGCCCTCCAGGAAGTCACAGAGGCGGGGCTGTGCGCCGGCAGAACCCGGGGCGTGCAGGCCACGAGGGAGGGCCTGATTCAGGGTCTTTATGAGCACAGCGGCTTCAGGAGCGTCCTGGGTTTTATGCCACTCCTCTTGGGATGGCTTCTGCACGTCCTGGAAGACGGCCAGGTGGCTGCACTGGTTTTGCATTTTCAAGGGTCGCTCGGCGCCCTCGCTCTGCTCCTCTGCCGATTCGGGGAAGTGGCCCACGCCCCCCAGAGGCACAACGCTTCGTTGGAAATGGAAGCCCAGAGAGAGGTAGGTGTAGGCCTACAGGTGCATGTTGACCAGGCCGTGGAGGACAGCCTCCACCTGGGTGGAATCATTCTGAGGAATCCTGGAGCTCCCGGTTGATGGGTTAATAAGGAGTTAAGCTCAAAAAATGGAGTTGGCTGGGCCTGGTGGCTGAGGGTAGGCTGCGTGGCTGATTCCAAAAGTTAAGACGGGAAAAGAGGTTGGAGGGTGGTCAGAGGCTGGAACAAGGGGCGTCCCTGGGTCTGTTCCGTCCAAACACGGTTGAAGCAAGAGACAGAGATCCTCGGGACCACTGAGCACACTAAGGATTGTTTTTAGGCTTACTACACTGTGGTATTTTTAACTAATGTGGGGAAGACCTGGTGGGAAGAGTAGTAAAATTAATGAAATATTTTTCATACATAATTTCAGTTGAAGGTCATGAAGAATTTGTAGTTTTTCATTTGTGGGTAAATATATTTCACTTTGGAAACGATAGTGATTATGGAGTGTTTTCAAAGCCATGATACAGTTTAACAGTGATTTCATAAGGATTATTTTAAGCTCATCTTGAGGCTGTACATTTATTTCAACTTAATTTATATACCCTCTTTTGTAGAGTCTTAAATTTTGTAAAGCAGTACAAGGAGTATTGTAGTAGGTAGTATCCAGTAATCAAGGACGGTGTGATACCGGCATAAGGATCAACAAATAACTCAGTGGGATAGAAGAGAGAGCCTAAAAACAAATCTACATTTATATGGTCACTTGATTTTTGACAGAGGTAGCAAAGCAATCCAACAGAGAAGGGAAATCTTTTCAACAAATGGAGCCGGAACAGCTAAATATCCCCATGGAAAAAAATGAACCATGATTCCCTACCTCACAAAAATGAATTTGAGATGGATGACAGACCTAAATGTGATAGCTAAAATACAAAGCTTTTTAGAGGAAACAGAGGTGAATATCTTAGGTGACAGAAAACAACGATAAAAGATCTAAAATTAGTGTTCATGAAAGTTAAAAACTTGTCATTGAAAGATGCTTTTAATACAAGTAGCTAGTATCAAATGATGTTTAAAAATTAGCTTTATTCTGGAAAAGGCAAGGCAAGGGGTTTTCCCCTAGAGCCTCTGGAAAGGAACATAGCCCTGCTGACATCTTAGTTTTGGCTCAGTGAGACTCATTTTGGACTCTGACCTCCAAAACTGTAAGAGAATAAATTTATGTTGTTTTAGGCCAAAAAGTAAATAAATAACTAAATAAAAATTAGCTTTATAAAATCACTGAATTAATAGATATAAGGATATTTTCTTATTAATCTAATTCTAATACAATTCCTTAATAGGCATTTGCATAGTAAGAATGGTTTATTTTATCTGCTTCCTCGATGATTGCAAATGCATTGTGACCCTTCATGATAATTTCTGCCAGTGAATAAAGAAGTATGACATCCTTTTCTGCGTCCTATGTCATGAAGCTAGTGGGTAGAGAAAACGGAGGAATAAAGAGCAATTCAGAAATACGTGTTAGTTATGTGGGAAAAAAAGTTTTTTAAAGAAATGTTTAAAAGAAAGTCTCATTTGCTCATTTCACTTTTGCCCTTTCTTTTCTGAAATCTCATTTAATGATTGGGTAGGTGAAGGCACTTCCGTTCTGTTTTATGCCTTTTAAAATAGCCAGTTCTAAGGGATATACTTCTGCTGTTTTAAACAAAGAAAGCTCACCAACATCTGCCGTACTGGCTAGTCCCAATTTCATATGTTTAGTTCCCAAGATAGCTGCCCTTTTTCTAGCAGAGAGCAGTCAGCTTGACTGTGTCACTAGAATAGACAAATATTTGTTCTGAGATCATGAACCATGGGGACTTGCTCCCCTACTTAGACCATGATACATACTCCTGTGTGTGCTACAGTGTGACATGCAGATTAATACCTTTAGTTACTAATCCTAGTTGCCTAAAACATTTCAGGATACATTCAGAAATTGCTCTTTTCCTGCAAGAGGATTCTGTTTTTGTTTCCAAAAAAAACCATGGCTTTTAAGGTTTTCCCTTAAAAAAAAGAAAAAAGAAAACTTAAAGATAAGCAAAATAAAATTTAAATTACCCATAGTTCTACCACCAGAGATGACTACATTAACATGTTAGTGTACTTAGTGATCCTTTTTCCCGACATGTTTTTGTATGTTAGTCTCACATGCCCTCTGCACATTCTGAAATAGATTTGTGTAGTATACATTATTTTTAAAGTTGATGATACACAATTTACCTTTTTTGTATCATTGACGACTTACTTGCAGGAAACAAACCACTCTAGCTATTTTAAGAGGAACGGGAATTAATATTGGGAATTTTGAAACTACTTAGTTCCTTACAAAATCATTGGAAGGTACGGAGAAATGGGCTCAAGTTTGGGTCCCCAGAAAAGACTCCAGCAAAACATACGTTAACTGGCCCACCAGGGCAACTGCTACTACTGCAGCAGCCAAGGGGTTCGCCAGTGGGGTTTCTGACGTTAGAACAGGCTGCAGAGGTTGTGTTCTGGGAGTGGGGACCTGCCACACTGTCTGCAGGCACCCAGTGACCATACACGGGAAAGCAGAAAACTGCCACCTCTCCCTGGCTGCACATGCCACGGAGATGGCTTCTGCCTTACTTGTCACTTCCAAGTCTTACGTTAGGTT